TTCCTCCATCGATATCCATCATCAAGAATATCATCAGCACTGCGAGTCTGAAAGGCGAACCTAGGGCGTGTTGCCTTCTTCATCCTACTACTACCCCCTTTTCTCTTATCTTTCTGAGTTTTGTCTTGCTCATGGCTCCCTCCATTTCCACCCATCGAGCTCGAACTTCCCATCACTGGTTGGCCGCAGAGTAGGTCAGCCCAGTTGTAAATGTCGTGGGGGAGAACTTGATCGGAAGCTGGGTGCAGTGAGGAGGATGGGAGGAGGGAGGTTGGGGTAGTACCGAAGACATAATTAGGATCAGAGCTGGTAAGGGCTGAGAATAATAGTGGTTGATTATGATTAAGGTCGTGCCGGGAATCCATTGATGAAGAAGATATTGAGAGAAGAGTTTGGAGAGATGGGTTGTGGTTTTAAAGGTTCAGAAAAGGCTATGGAAGGTGAGAGGAGGTTGGACAGAAATTAACAGAGATTTAGAAAGAGAAGAAACGTTGGGTGCCCAAGTTAATTTTAATTACTATTTTCTTTTTTAAATTATAGGTTATCTATAGTGATTAATCAACAGAAACTTTTCTTTCATTAGGCAAACAAAAAGGAAAAAAAAACTGTAGAGTCATTCTTAAATAATATTATATTTTTTTTATGATTAGCATATTTTTAAATTCTCCATTGCCAATACTTCTAAAATTGATTTTTTTTTAAAAAAACAAACAAACAAACAAATAAGGGAAGACGGCTTTTGCTGAATGACATGTCTTGAAGCCATGGTAAATGCCCAACAACATCTCACCTACTTTTCTGTTCAACTGCCTTTTGCATAAGAAGGAGAATGACATGCATCGTTATCACCAATGCATTTTCACACTTACACACGTGCTTCTTCATTACACTGTTTATTTTATACATCTCTCCTGTCTATTGAGAGTAATTGTAAACTTCCAAATCAGTTCAACACAAACACAGCCTTGATCAAAATCAATTTAAAACAAATTTGCACGCATCGAATATCTTCAGCAAAATATGAAAATTGTATGTATCCCCCCAACTTTTATCAAATCAATTAACTTCATTGCACAAAACAAAACTTCATGTTCGTATTGCAGGAGGAGGCCTAATACCCCTCTTATGTCAGGCTTGAATTAATCTAGATTGTCAAAATTCATTAAGTTGGTCGAATTACAATGATTTATGGGAAATGCAGACCATACCCTACCGGTTCTCGAAAGGATCAAATGTAACTCAAAGATAAAAAAAAAATGGGTCTCTCTATTAGCTGATTATCATCTTTTTAAGGAATTCTGCTTGCTCTGGAAAATACTCCAACAATTCATCCTTAGTCACCCAAATATAATCCTTGCATCTCCCGACATTGAACTTGTTTGTTGCAATTACTTGGGATTTAAAGAAGAATCGCTGACCAAAAAATAGGAAAAAATCAAGCCAGTAACATTTACATAAATAGATTAGACGCCACAAATTGGTATCAAATTTGATTAGCAGGAAGAAGTAATATTTACGATGGTACTTCACAAATATAGATTTATTAAAATAATTGGCAAATACCCAATAGATGGAGCTGTTTTATGATGAAAAATATACCTTGTATGGCGACAAACCAGGTGCATCCTCTGTGGGTTGTACAACCATATGACCCATTGGAGCATTTCCAACAAAATATGTGTGACAAAGGTCTCCTATAACAGATTCTAATGCAGACTCTGCACACTGAAACATAAGAATTTATATGAGAAAAAACAAACAAACAAATAAGGGGAGGAAGAAGAAGCAGCCATCACCTTCCGCAAGGTATCTTCAGATTCGTAAACTTTTTCTGGAAAATGCCACACAGGCTTCCCACCTGGAGCCCCTAATGTGTTACCATAGAGCAGAAGGTACAGCCTTCTGTCAAGTGCTCTCTGCAAAGACCTAGAGAAAAAAATTACAACATGTTTTGACATCAGAGCTCCAAGAATTTCTAGAAAATATAAGTTTCCAGCAACCAACATAAAAATAATGCATGATAGATACCAAACATATTCTGCTCAGAGAAAAGCATAATAATAGATAATTACGACTAAGTATGAAGCAAAAACAAAACCCTGCCAGCACAGGAATCTGCTTCTTTAACTGATCAATAGTAAAACAAAACCCTGTACTTGTGCCATGACATACATGCTGGTTTCAGTCACCAGAAAAAATACAATTAAGCAGTATTTTGCCTACTAAAATGAGTCGTGATGTTGAAATGAGATTTAAAGAGAATCTTTCCATTTTATCCTGACTGCTGAATAAAGACTGTTGACATTCCCAATAGACAGATATAAAACTAACATTAACAAATAATGCATTGTACAGGAACTTTTAACTGCGTGAATGAAAACAAAATGTAGAGCATAACATAATAATCAAGGAAGACATTTACAATCAAGACAGATATTGGCAAGAAAAAAAGGGCTAAAACATCAATGACTCATGCGATCGATCACCTTTAATGATAGAAGAGTATGCTAAAAATGCAGTACCCTGCAACCAGACTATCATTAGTTCAAACTGAATAAATCCATGCAAGTAAGATATTTTTCAGGCAGCTTTGCAAGTAGATTCATTCTTCCACAAC